AAGCCGTGGCTAAATTGTCTGAGGTACAAAATATTGTTCTTGCTGATGCCGAGCATGAGGCTGCCTCTACTTAGAGATTGAATAATTTGGAGGCAGCCTTAAACTCCAAACTAAAGAGGTTGCTGCTGCTGAGGAGACACGTGACTAGATGGAGGAGAAGTATAAGAGGGTCATGGAACACAATTAGGTTCATATCTCCACTATCGTGACCTTGATCTCAGCCTTAGGGCCACAAGATCTGAGCAAGATAGCCTTTTAACCGAGGTTGATCAGCTTAAATAAGAGCTCCAACACCGAGCGTATTCCCTCACTGTTGAGAAAATGCATTCTATGTATATCTTGAGGAGAAAACCTTGGAAAAGGCCAAAACGAGCGTCATTGATTTTGATACCGAGATCGCCAAGGCCCGAGAGCTGGAGTCAACCGCCCAAAGGTGTCTCTTGGTTCTACGCGATGCAACTGACTCTTCTAGTTTTAGTTTTGAGTTATAGAAAACTGAGGAGGAACTTGAAGGGGATGATGATGAAGGCCAAGATCCCGAGCTGGCGGTAGATCTGCCAACTCCTCTTGGGGCGCGGACGCTTCTCTTCCCCCAAGTTTTAGGGACACAATAGTTTAGTTTTTTTGCTTTCTTTTCCATTTGTTGTTTTCTTTTCATATTTTTGCACTTGTGTTTCTTGGCATGTTGTTATATAAAAGTGCTTTTCGTTTAAGCATTGTGAAAAGTTTATTTTTTTCGTCGAATTATGGAAGGCTTCGGGTGCATTTTTCCCGGATAGCATTTGGGTTTCGGGCATAAATGCTTCCGGAGCCAACCCTTTACTATGAGCGTTTCATAAGAGATGGCCCCTTTATTTTTATGGTGCTCTTGAAGAGGACGTCTCCTATTCATTCCGGCACTAACATTTGAAGTACTTGATTAACTTTTAAATGATAAAATTAATTCATCATTTGGACACGAAACAAGATAAAAATAAAAGGACTTTACTTTATTCCTTCCATTTTCAAAAGTACATAAGCATTCATTTTGCTGAAAAGAAATTGCCATTAGTTTTGGCTAATTTGTACAACTTGTTTCTACGGGGCTAGTCGCACAGTCCCCGGTCCCGATGATACATTCTTGTTCCTGAATTTCGTAGTCCTGTTTTCTATGGGAACCAGGTTGCTGTATTCTCATATCATTCCCCCCCAGTGTTCGAATGCGAATTTGAATACTGGACGTCTTGCTCAATTGAAGATTCCACTAGTGAATGGTTGGATAATCTTTGGTCCGATAGCAAGATTCATTTCCCATCACGGACCTTTTTACCTTGCCAAAGATTATCTAACCACCTCCAGTGGCTTGTAGTAAAGGGGCACTCGTGAACGGTTAGATAGCTTTTGGTCCGATAGCAAGCTTTATTTCCCGTTAGGAACTTTGCTGTTGAGCAAAAAACTCTCTATCTATCCGTAGTGGTTTGTTGTTTCCTTGACTTGTCATTTAAAGGTCTTATTTATGCTAATGACAGTTCCTTCGTAGTATGCTTTCTGTTGTTGACTCGTTAAAAATCATTCCAAAAAACCCAATTAGGACAAAAACTGGAATAAGAGAAAAAGAGTGCAGCACACACTTTCATTATATGCGATGCTCATCAGTAATAGTACCTTTTGAGGTGTGCCACATTCTAGTTTCTCGGCAATTTTACTCTGTCTTGATTTTCTAGTTCATATGATCCTTTCTCGGTGATAGTTGAAACCCGGTAGGGGCCTTCCCACGTCGGACGCAGCTTCCCTACATTGAGCTCTCGGTTGTTTTGAGTCACTTTTATTAAAACCAAGTCTCTCGCTTTGAAATAATGGATATTGGCTTTTCGATTATAGTTGGACCACCATCATTATAAGCACCAAGTCCCTGTATTAGTCAAGCAACTCAAATTTAACCAACAACACTTCGTTGTATGCTTATTCGTCCGCCCGGAAGTATCTCATGGTAGGTTCTCCCACTTCCACCAGGATTAGGGCTTCTTCTCCGTATATGAGAGACAAAGATGTCTCTCCCATGCTTGAATTGGTCGTCTCTTGGTATGCCCATAACACTCTCAGTAACTTTTCGGGCCATTTGCCTTGGGCTGCTTCCAATCTCTTTTTGAGATTTTGAATAATCACCTTATTTGTCCATTCCGCTTGGCCATTTGCGCTCAAGTGGTATGGGAAAAATATGATTCTTTTGATTTGCAAGTCTCCAAGGAATTTCGTGACCTTTGCACCTATAAATTATGGCCCGTTGTCACATGATATTTCTTTGTATTCTGAACCTGCAAAATATGTTCTCCCACAAGAAATCAACCACTTCGCGCTCGCCGATTTTATGGTAAAGACTTGCTTCAACCCACTTAGACAAGTAATCAGTTAAAATCAAAAGAAATCTTACCTTACTGGGAGCAGGTGGCAGCGGACTGACTATGTCCATCCCCCATTTCATGAATGGCCAAGGTGACAATACCGAATGCAATAGTTCTGCCGGTTGATGTACTGTCGGCGCGTAACATTGACACTTGTCGCATTTTTGAACGAATGTCTTAGAGTCTTATTCCATTTGGGGCCAATAGTATCCTTCCCTAACTAACTTTAACACTAATGAGTCCGCACTTGAGTGATTTCCACAGATTCCTTCGTGAACTTCTCTCAGGATGTAATTAGCATCGGAGGCTCCTAAATATCGAGCCAACGGGCCTTGGAAATACTTTCTATACAAACGACCTCCCCTAAAGCTGTAACGAGCTGCTTCAGTGCGTAGTGCCAGAGATGCCTTTGGATCTTTGGGTAGTTTGACATGCTCAAGATAGTCGATGATTTCATTTCTCTAGTCCTAGACCAAATTGTCGCATTTACTTCAAAATAATCGTCCACATCCAATGCCGAAAGCATGAGTTGTACGACCGTACCAGAATCTGATCCCTTCATTTTTGTGGATGAGCCCAGATTGGCTAGTGCATCTGCTTATGCATTTTCTTCTCTCGGGATGTGGGTGATTGAACATTCCCTGAATCGTACGAGCAAAGCCTGGACTTTCACTACATATTGTTGCATGCGTTCCTATTTGGTGTCGAAGATCTCGTATTCCTGATTTACTACCAGTTGGGAATCACATTTGATTTCAATGACCTCGGAGTCTAGTTCCTGGGCCAGTTCAAGTCCCATAATCAAAGTCTCAAAATCGGCTTCATTGTTCGTCAAGGGAACAATTTTATTTCCTACCTCAGGGTTTCTCCCGAGGGCATAATTATTACTACCCCAAGCCCCAACCCTTTCACATTGGAAGCTCATCCATGAACAAGGTCTAGACTCCTAATGTCATTTTTGACACCATCACCACTTCTTTTGTGTCCAAAGGCAACAGTCCGACACTAAAATCAGCCACGAAATCGGCCAAAACTTGTCATTTCATCGCAGTCCTGGGTTTATACTCGTTGTCAAATTCACTCATTTCGGCTGCCCACTTAGCCAGTTGACCTAACAATTTAGGTTTGTGAAGGATATTCCGTATGGGAAAAGTTGTCACCATGGCTATCGGGTGGCATTGAAAATAAGGCCTAAGCCTTCGAGCAGTGACTACGAGAGCTAAGGCTAATTTTTTGAGGTGTGGGTAGCGAATTTTGGCTCGCGTTAAATTTTTTCTAATGTAATAGATAGGATATTGCTTACCTTTGTCTTTTAGAATGACACTTACCGCTACCTCCGAGACCGTTAGGTAGATTAAAAATTCTTCAGCTTCCTCTTGTTTCAATAGTAACAGAGGGTTTGATAAATACCTTTTCAAGTCTTTCAGGGGCTGCTGGCATTCCGAAGTCCATGCGAAGTTGTTCTTCTTCTTCAGAAGTGAGAAGAAGTGATGGCATTTTTCTGAAGACTGAGATAGCTGGTCAGGAATGTCCTCAATGGCTTTAATTTTATCGGGATTGACTTTGATCTATATTTGTGACACCAGGAAACCCAAAAATTTACCAAAGCTGACTTCAAATGCACACTTTTCGGGGTTAAGCTTCATATTGTGTTTCCTTAGGATGTCAAAAGTTTCTTGGAGGTGTTTCAGATGGTCACATGCATTGAAAGACTTAACCAACATATCATCTATGTAAACTTCCATTGTTTTCCCTATTTGCTTTTCAACAATTTTGCTCACAAGCCTATGATAAGTGGCTCCAGTGTTCTTAAGCCCGAAAGGCATCACATTATAGCAATATGTGCCAAAGTTCGTTATGAACGAAGTCATTTCCTTATCCTCTAGATTCATTTTTATTTGGTTGTACCCGAAATAGGCATTGAGGAAACTCATAAACTCGTGCCCGGCTATCTCATCATCATTTGATCAATGTTTGGCAATAGGAACAAGTCTTTTGGGCACGAAATATTCAGATCCTTATAATCTACGCACATACAAAATTTATTATTCTTTTTTGGAACTATTACTACATTAGCTAGCCAATCGAGATACTTTACCTCCCGGATTGAACCGATATCAAGCAATCGAGTTACCTCTTCTTTGACTAACCTATTTCTGACCTAGAAAATCGGGTGCTTCTTTTGCCTTACTGAAGGGATGTTGGGTCCAGGCTTAACTTGTGCATGGCCACCTCTAGCGGAATACTTGTCATATCTATATGAGACCACGTAAAACAATCAACATTAATTTTAAGAAATTCTATAAATAATGACCTGAGCTTAAGGTTTAATCTTTTCCCCAAGTGGAACTTCCTTTCTAAGAACTTCTCGGACAATACAACTTGTTTGAGTTCTTTCGTTATGGATTTGGTTGCGTTTGTTTCTTCCGGTACCTAGAAATACCTTGGTACTTGATAGGATTCTGACGACTCCTTCCCTTTACCGACTTCGTTTGGCTCGAGAGTAGGCGTCAGTTTCTGTAATTGCTATGCTACATGTTCCTTCCCTTTGCTGCTGGAAATTGAGATCGCATTCATCTCCCTTGCCATCGGTTGATATTATCTTATTTCTTTAATTCCTTATGGAGTTGGGAATTTCAGAAGTTGATGGTATCTTGATGGCACAACCTTCATCTCGTGTAGCCATGGTCTTCCAAGAATAATGTTGTAGCCCATGTCATCGTCTACTACTTCAAACAGGGTTGTCTTCATGACCCATTCGGCATTTATGGTCAGCGATATCTCCCCTCGGGTCGTCACACTTGCTAAGTTGAACCTGGCGAGGAGCTTTGTGGATGGATTGATGCTTCCGGTTAGCTTGGCTTGCTCCAGCACTCTCCATTGAATAATGTTGGTTGAACTTCCCGGGTCTACCAAAACACATTTTAATTTAAAATCTAAGACATTAAGAGAAATTACCAGGGCATCGTTGTGCGGTAATAGGAGCCCATCAATGTCTTCCTCCGTGAAGGTGATATCGTCCTCGGCGACTTCCTGGAGTCTTTTGCTATGAGTCACTGATACCTTTGTCTTTTTTGCTACGAAAAAGGTTACACCATTAATTTCATTCCCCCCAAAAATCATGTTGATCATTAGACGAGGAGGATTTTCTCCTGTCTTCAAGGGTTCCGCGTTATCCTTGTGGCGGGCGTAATTATTTTTAGCCCGGTTGCTTAAGAACTCTATGAGATGGCCATTTTTCAGCAATGTGGCAACCTCCTCGTACATATGCCGGCAATCAGTCCGGTGGATATTAGTCCCATGATACTCACACCAGAGATTAGGATCCCTCTGGCTAGGATTAGATCTTATCGACCTGGGGAACCGTTCTTCTTTAATGTTCCTCATCGCCATTACTAGCTCCACCACACTGACATTGAAATTATACTCGGACAGTCTAGGTTAAGTTGAATCTCGGGAGCCTGGTATCTCTTTGTCTTGCAACGATCTGTTATTTCGAACACGGTCGACTCTTGCCTCAACTATGTAATGATCTGATCTTGAATGGCCCATAATAGCCTTTTGTTGTTCCCCCAGGATCTTCACCATTTTTGCAACATGCTCATCTTCAGCATCATCAAGAGTTGCCTCCCGAACGTGTCGTAGATATTTCCCTCCATGGACAGGCGTGGTTGCATCCTCCTTGTTGCGGGTATCACTGATCGAATCTTTGTGTTGAGGCAGATTTTCTTGGGTCTTAACATTGTGTGCGAAGTTGACATCGTTGTCTTCCATTTTTAAAGGTTTTATTGCTAAGAAACAAAGAATCAAATAGATTAGTAATAGATGCAAGGATCAACTTAATTACAAACTGTTTAGGCCCACAGTGCGCGCCAAACTGTTTACCCATAAAATGGTACAGTTGAATTTATAACATGGTTTATAGACAAGCAAATCAATTTGATACCAAAATGATAGATAAACTAAATGAAATGAAAGACTTAGCGTTGAAATCGAGATAAGATAGCAAATAGATTGTTCCGGGAGTAAGGCTTCCGACGACAGTAATAAGAATATCAAAAGATAGAAAATAAAGTATTATTGAGCTTAGAAGCATAAGTTTGTCAGAAAGTTTTTATCCTACAATGGCTGTTGAAGTCACTTGTTTACCATGAAAATGGTAATAACAATTAAATTTGATTATGGGATTCTAAAAATACGTGATCTATTTTTTATACTAGTTGTTAAGCAGATAATGCTATGTGTGAGACTTAGAAATGAGATAAGGGTTAAGAATGAGGTGATAACTAAACCAATAGATTAACAATCAGGGCCTCGAGCTTGTCGATTCGGGGGCCTCGAGGTCGATTCTGGAGCTCAGCTTGGAGCTATCGAAGGTGGTCGAAATATGACTAACAGTTATAATAAAATCAAGAAGGCTCTTTATGGCCAATGATAAGCAATAAATGATGAACAATAATGAAGATAATAGATGGAAACAATAATATCAAGAGAATGTGTTAGAGAGTAGAGAGAATGTTCTTGTATATTTCATGTAGAGCAACTGAAGCAACCGGAGTTTACAAAATGACAAGGATCCCCTTTATATAGGAGGGGAGTCCCAACATAGTACAAAAATGCATTAATTACAATGATATGGGGATGAGACAGCTAGATGATGCCCTGATTCAAGTTTATAGTAGTCTACTAGGCCCTGTCAGTCCTAACCGTGTGCCTTGGAAACTCCCCATTTCTACCATTACCGTAATCATCACTGCTCTGAGGTCGAGTGTCGATGTCCCTCGAGGGAGGATACTCAGCCATGGACTCGAGCCTTCGAGGTGATCTTCCGAAGTGCCTTGATGGCGAGAAATTGGACCCTCATATTTCACCATATACATATATTCCCCGCGTTTCTTAGAGAGGAACGACAAGAAATGGTTTTGACATCCATCTCTTCGGACTTCCTGTGATGGTGTTATACCAATGATGCCATACCTATGACATAGGCTTTATGGAAACCGAGGAGTCCTGCTAACTTATCTTTTTAACGTCTTTCAGTGCACAATCAATCCCTGTCTTTGTAGGCGGTAATATTGCCGCCAATTCAGTTCCCAAAAATGCATTAATTGCGCCTGCCAATACGTCTTTGAAAGACATTGATGGCGTCGTCGGTTGCGTTTTTCAAAAGAGTATTGATTGTGCCCGCCGGTTACTCTGCCCTTTCTCTATAAATGGGGGTTTCTGGAATCAATTACTTAATCAAGTGTTCTTCATTCAGCCTTTCTCCCATTTCTTCCTTCCATTCTCATACACTGTTGTTTCCCATGCCTGAGGCCCACGACCTTAAAGTTTCCTAGCGACGTTCTCATCAATTATATTATGGCCCTTTTCTGGGGCCCCTCCTTGTCGAGCAAGATTACCCCAACTTGCTGTTGTTGTTGGCCCGAGACGAGGAGATAGGGAGGCCGATCTCTTCCATCTTGGGAAGGTATTTGGACTATACACTGCTACTTACGAAGGTGTTCAGACTATACACCGCTGCTCACCTTCCTTCCCCGGTCGGTTGTGGCACTTCACCCCTTTTGCTTTCCATGGGTAGAAGTGGTCCCTTTGGCTGGTAGCTTGCATGGAATAATGTACCAAGAAGTGGACTCAAAGTAGCCGTGCAAGTGAGGCCCACACCCGCCAAGTCTTCTACTAGGTCGTGATCTTCTTGGCCTAGTGAGAGCCATTGCCTTTTGGCGGGCTATGGTATTTTTTCATCCCTTTCCGCCCCTTCACTTTCCTCTTCTTCGTCTTCTCCCTTGGAGATTCCCTTTTGGAGGACTGAGATGAGCCCCCTGAGGAGGTGGCGCTCGAAGACGTTGCCGCCGAGGATGCATACTCGAGGAGATGGCACTCGAAGATGCTGCTGCCGAGGATGAACCTTTGAGAATAGATTAGGCTCTTGTCTTTTACTACATGTGCACTTTTTCTCTTCTTTGTTTCTGCGTAAGGAGCCCTTGTGGGCTTTTGTAATCATATGTAAGGACCCCTTGTGGGCTTTTGCAATCAAAGTTTTGTGAATGTGAAGATGTTTCTTCAATTTTGTCTTTGATGTTTGCTATATTCCATTTTATTTGCATTTATGGAGACTCTGAATGCATGATTCTATCAGATGCTACCAATATCGCGCCCCGGTGTGAGTATTTTTTCCTGACCTTCGATTGACTAATACGACCTCTCGTGGAACCCTTTGTCGTTCCTTGGATCGAGCCTGGATTGGACCGATAAACTGGGGTCGTCGGGACCCTTACTTTAAGTTGAATGAAAGTAACGCTTCGAGCCTTGAGACCGTGATTTATCATTTATACCTCGCGGTAATCTTAGGGGAAATTTTCTTGAAGGTACAAGGATAGGAACTGCCTTTAAGCTTTAGAGAGAAGTCCCCGAGTGGGGGTTCGTTCAAACCCGGGCCACCTGAAAACCTGCATTGAACTTAGCATAGATAGCCCTAAGGTGTTGTAGGTAGATTCCGAACGGGAGTCTACCAGAATTCAGATGGCACCCTGGGACCAAGCCCATGTGGGTGGAGCTTGAATGCTTATTTCCTTGGAGCCTAACTCCTTTTTGACGAAAGTCCCCGAGGTTGGGTACCACATCGAGACTTGTAATGATGTCATTGGCTTCCTGGAGCCTAACCTTTTCTTGATGGAGGTCCTTGAGGTCGGGTACCACCTCAGGACTGGCGATTATGCCGTTGGCTTTTTAAGGCCTAACTTCTTTTTTGAGCGAGGTCCTCGAGGTCGGGTGCCACCTCGGGACTAGCGATGATGCCGTTGGCTTTTTAGGGCCTAACTTTTTTTTGATGGAGGTCTTCGAGGTCAGGTACCACCTAGAGACTTTGCGACGATGTTGTTGGCTTCTTAAAGCCTAACTTCTCTTTGATGGAGGTCCTCGAGGTTGGGTACCACCTCGGGACTGGCGATAATGCCACTGGTTTTTTTAGGCAGGTGGATAGTTGCCGTTTTATCATATATAGGGTCGTTTCTATTCCTTTGGAGATCCCACCATTTTAAGTAGTTACCCTTCTTTTTCTGCGTTAAGTCTTTCATTACTTCAGTACTAACATACTTTCACAGATTCCTGCTTTAGTTCTCTAATTTTGCCATAGCCATGACTGCTACATCGGGGTCTTTCCGACAGAGAGGGGAGAGCTTCGTCTCCGGCATTTAGGACCAACGGGAGTATACCTTGAAGACTACTTCTTTGATAGGAGAAGAGCATCTTGAGTTAGTAAGAAAAGACCACGGATGGGGGGAGAAAGTAGTGTTATAGACATTTTCCCCGGATGAGGGTATCACGGATTGTGCCGATGAATTTTTGAATATGTATACGTATCCTTTCACATTTGGCCCCTTGATAGGGCTGTGCTTGACTTCTGTTTAAAGTATCGGGTTACCTTGGTGCAGATCCACCCATCATTTTGGCGAACACTGTTGATGATAAGATTTTTCACAGAGAAGGCAGGGCTTGAACTTACGCTCAGTCATCATATTAGGCTGTACTGGCCTTTTCACCATCGAGGTCTGCTAACCTTGCGATGCCGATCGACCACGCCTTTCATTGTTGATGATGAGGAAGATCTAGACTGGGAGTGGATGAGTCACTTCATCTGAGTGCGAACCGTTGACATTATCCCCGTGGAGCTTATGCCATTCCCCGAGGAATGAAACTATACACATAAGTGGTGCATTCCGTGCCTTCTCAGTTTTATCTATGGCAAAAGCTGGTTTTGTAACCGTGCCTTCTTTTTTTTTTCTACAGCGATTTCATGGGCTATAGGCAGTGTTCCTAATTTGCTAGATTGGGTTCGGAAGTTGGCGACCCACTCGACCTGCGATGAGTGCGAGTGGCGAGCTTTGTCCCGGGGAAGATGGGAAGCAAAACATAATGGTGCGTATTGTGCTATTTTTTCCATTCCCTTCCTTCATTTGGAGAGGCATTTTCCCTTTATGCATATTAATCTTACTGTTGTAGGCATCAGAGAGCCTTCCAAGCCGGGGCCGCGCTCCTTTGGAGAGGGGGAAGGGTCGACAGCTCCCGGGCTAAAGAATGACAACAATAAGCGAGAGATACTTTTACAGGGCAATGGCGCTCAAAGCAAGGCAAAATGGGACCGGGTCTCTGAAGTGGAAGCATCGTTCGAGCCTGGCGCGATCGTGGTTCCTGGTTCTATAAAGATGGTTTCTCCATTGCCGTCGCCTTCTTTTTTCGTCAATAGTACTTCGAGGGATACTAGAGACCCGAGGTCACATATACTGAGTGACCGTGCCTCGACCAGAGTTGGCCCTTTTAGAGCTAAGGGAACTGGGTTGGCAGATGTGCGCTCGGCCTTTGAGGAAGCCCAGCGGCTTCACTTCGTGGTTAGT